CTTGCTCAGGGCCACACAGCAGACTAGAGAGGAGCTTTGAATGGAAGTCCCGATCTCCAGATGCTCCTTCCCCCCGCACCACAGAGACGTATCAAGCAAGGCTGCCTGTATGAATCTGTGGGTCAGCATTGTAATTGTTAGATGCTAATCCCCAAATGGCAACAACCACTGTCTACTTCAACTACACATCCCTTCTTTTGCCACCGACCCAGGAAGCATCCTACCTCCCTTTTAGATTTGAAGCCCTTCAAGGACAGAAACTAGAGTTTCCTTCTTGAGCTCAAATGTTGGGTTTTCCCCCCTGAATGATCCCCTACTGCCCTCTACCCTAATTCTTGTGTTCCACGGGCAAAAGCCAGGCCTGGGCCAGCTGCCCACCAGGTGGGATACCTCCAGAACTGCCAGGAAACAGGAGAGATAAAGGGAGAAGACAAACCCACCCCCACTGTCCATTCAAATTAAAAAAGGTTCTCTTCTCTTTGTACAAACCCTATGAGCCCAGTGCCCATTCCAAGAGAATTCTTGTCACTGATGGTGGACGGGTTGGGCATTTGGGGTTTATTAAGTCAGATAGCAACTGAACTGGAAAGCAGCAAATGAGGCTCCTTCTTGGGCAGGTGGCTGCAGACCAAGGCTGGGGCCAGCTTCGCAAGGCTGGGAAGATGTCCCTTTAAGGCTGGGGCTCACTGCCGCTGGGAACAGAGAGCCAGCCTGGGAGAAGGCAGGGGCCTACAGTTTATTTTAGTTGACATTTTTCAACGTCAGGACACTTCAGAGCCAAGAAGGAAACGAATCCCATCTGTTCCTGAGCCCCTAAGCACAGTTCAAGAGGACAGGCTGGGGAAGGGAGGGGAGGCGAGGAGGGAGCAAGAAGCCTGGAACATCCAGCCACACACATGGAGCAGGAAACCACCTGAGGAGAGACACAGGGCACGGCAGACAGTCGCCAAGAAATCCCGCTGTCCCTCCGACACACACCCGCAGAGCTCTTCCAAGATGGGGCCTAGGTCGCTGGACAGCAGTCTGCCAGGGCTGCTGATGACACAATTCTATACCATGGGAATGGCGCCCACTGGAGGTGTGCAACACGGCGGTACGGCTGCCTGCTCGGCCTGGGGGTCCTTCTTCTTAACAGCCACAAAGCTCAGACACACAGCCCAGCCAAGCTGCCATTCACGTGGGCAGAAATGGAGACATTGAGAGGGAATCCAAGTTCAAGTAGGGAGGGAATGGAGGACCTTCTGACCCCTTTCCCCTCTTGGCATACCTGCTCCCCATGCCCAGGGCCTCTATTTACCTCCGCATGGGAGCCCATCCTTGACTCCCCTCGGGTTCCAACTCTGGGTGCCAGGGACGGGAAGGACAGATGGCCGTGGAACTTATCTTCTTACTTAGATTAAATTCCAGACCTTCCTATTTTTAGAAAGACAAATTCCTGTTCTCTTTTCAAGAGGTAAAAATGTCTCTCAAACTGTCATCTAGGACAGACCACAGCCAACTTGAAGTTGTCTATAGTGTCATGCTTTGGAGATCACCCTGGCAGGATGAATGTCAGGTGGTGATTGGTCTAGGTGCCAAATTTTAAGAGGATCATTGACAACTTGAGAGCTTCCAGGCGAGAGTGACCAGGATAACAGAGATTTGAAAAACTGGGTCATTTAAGAAAGTAATGAAATAAGCTACAGACTTTTTTTTTTCTTTTGGTCTAGAGAAAAGACTATCTGAGCAATCATTAAGAACATGCTGAAATATTTGAATGAAGATTGATGCTTATTCTATTTTTCTTGGATGGCAGCATCTGAATCAATAGGCAGAAGGGAAGCAGATTTCAGGTGAATATTTAGAAACTTTCTCATAATTTTGTTCTATTTGAACTAGAATAAGCTTACTGTATCTTTGCAAGGCAGCCCCGAAAGACCAGCTGTCAGGAGTGCTATAAAGAAGATTCTTGTCCTTTATGGGAAGATAGACGAGTCCAAAATCACCAAGATGCTTTAGAAAAATATGGTTTCCTGAGTAGCAGAGAATCTGCCTTGGTAGCTCTGGAAGGAGACTTGGAATCTCTATTTTTAAAAAGACCCATTAGCTATAAAACTCTTAGAAGAAAACACGGGGGCAAAGGTTCATGACATTGGATTTGACAGTGACTTCTTAGATACAACACCTAACGAACAGGCAACAAAAGAAACATTAGATACATTAGAGCTCATCAAAATGAAACACTTTTGTGCTCAGAGGACACTAATAACAGAATGAAAAGGCGACCCACAGGACAGGATGGTCAGAAGGGAGGCCCCGCAGGGAACAGCCCTAACCGTTTCATGAATAGGGAAAACAAGTTTCTTCGAAACAGGACATTTTCTAAATTATAAAACCTGCACGGAAACCACAGTGAGGCTGGGAGGGCCAAGAAGGGGGCTGAGCAGGGCCCGTTCAGGACTCCTCGGTCTCTTGCTGGAATCGAGAGGATGCCCGGTCTCTAACGAAAAAGCGTAACACTTAACTGTGAAAGCACATAATTGAGGAGTGACTGTTTACATTAAAATTACTGGGGTTATAAGTGGGTTCCCTTCAGCTCTGCCTTCCTTAGCACACTGAAGGGTGGGTGTTTTTCCCAGTCCTGAGGGGAAGTCAATAACAGAGAAACCTTAAAACTATCAAGTGTTAGAGTTCCTTCTATTTGCAGACCGCCCGTGAACACCACACGTGAAATCATCAGACGCAGCTCAGTGTCAGGTCCACTTCATGGGCACCGCTGGCCAACACTTTCTTCCCCCTAGGAACTGCAGACTTCCCTGGGTTTGCACGTTCTCATCCATGCTACCCTCGATGAAGCCTGCTTTTTTTTTTTTTTTTTTACTGATTCAGGAGCACACACCCTGTCTGGAGGGAAGGGGATAAAGAAAGGGTGCTAGAGGGTGGGTTAAGGGCATCGTTCCTGGCTCCCCTCTGCCTAGCATTCCATACCCTCACACCCCCAAAACTGATGTTCCCAGGACTGTCCAGCTGCCCCTACCTCTGTCTCAGCTGCTGATTCTGAATGGCACTCAGGTGAGACTGCACAGTCCCTGGGGGCAAATCTGGGACCCTCAGAGGGCAGGAGTCCTTCGTCCTCCTTCAGAATGACATTTTAACAATAACAGGAATGACCAGTAACAGCAAAACCAAAACAAAACAAATCCAAAAACCAAAAAGAACAACAAAAAAAGCTAACATTTACTGAGCATTTACAATGAGCCAAGGATTATTCCAAGCACTTCCTATGTATTTACGTATTCAATCCTTACAATCATCCTGAGATAGGTTCTATTCTCTGCATTTAGCAGACAGACAAACTAAAGCCTGGAGAGTGTTCTAGCTTCCCCAGGCTCACACAGCTAGGAAGTCCTCCCACCTGCCTCAGACTGGGATCTCTCCAAAGGCAGGAGTCCTGTGCCTTCCATGTTTGGGAAATTTTCTGCCATGGCCATTGCGTGCACTGTGGAGGATGGCTCTCACCTCCCTCAGTGTGGGAGCTCCCTGAGGGCTGGAGCTCTGGTCCTTCCAACACATAGGGAACTTTCAGAGCTCTCTGCCTCACAGGGGTTGTGCCTCCCTTTGCCTTATACAACTGAGAGCTCTCAGAAGGCAGGGACTGGACGCTTCCTCAGAGAATCAGCTTCCCAGCACAGGGGCTGTCCAGAGCAGCCCATCACACACCTTGGCTCTCCTTCCTGCCCAGCAAAGCCCTCTGAGCACAGGAGGAGCTGGACAGCTTTTCTTGAGTCCCAGCTCCAGGCTGGTGGATCTGAGCATGAGGCTGGGCTGGCCCCCGGGATTTATGAGTCAGTAAACAACCCCATTCATGAGTCAGTTGTTTTGTTCCAGAAGAGCCTCATCAACTGGACAGGCCCTGCCGAGTCCCTCCAAGTTTGTCCCCAGGGGTAGGGAACAGCGGATGGCCTGGAGCACAGCTCTTAGCCCTTTCCTAGGTGGGGCTACTTTTCATTCTCTAGAAGCTTGGGGTTTTTATTGGGAAGAGGTAATCCCTGAGAGGGGTAGGGGGAAGGGGTGTTGTCACTACTTGTGTGGTCCTTTGGAAAATCCCAGCAAACCAAGAAGGAAGACAGGAAGCAGCAGTGAGCTGAAAGATGCCCTGGAGAAGGTTCCAGAACCACTACAGCTCTTCAATCTCACAGCTTGGAACAGTTGGGCACGGACCCCTCCCACTCCCGACGCTTCTTTCTTCCTATCTTTTCCTTCACTTCGCAGACTGTCGCCTGTGTCCCCGTTGCTCCACAAACCCAACCCTGCCAACTGGGGGAAGAAAAGAGAAGATGAGGGTCCCCGTGAGGCAAAGCACAGGAAGGGTTTAACAGACGAGGATGGAGGCTGGGAATTTGCATTACTGGTAGAAAGTCTGCAGAGGAAAAAACCAGAGCAGCAGAAATTGAGTGACACGAGGGAAGGCACGGGACAGAGGGTCTGGGAACCCTGGCGAGGGAAGGGGAGCCACAGTATCACTTTTCTGTTTCAGTAGTGCTTTCATTTTCTCTTTAAATTAGACTCGGAAGTAGACAGATGTAGTACCGCCATCCTCTTTTCACAAATGGGACAGCAGATGAGGATGTCCAAGGCCCACACGGAGTTAGCAGAACCGGGACTAACACCGTTTCCCAAAACCCTTCCCGCCAGCCTTTGGAGGGCAAAGGACCGGAGAAGAGGGCGGGGCATACCTTAGAACGACAGCCATCCGGGCCAATGAGAGAGAGGGCCCTTCATTGACCAATCAGCTCCTCCAGCGGGGCCCCACCCACCACACCAAAGCCCGTAATACAACACATCCAATCTCAGGCGCGCCACAACCAGTGTCCAAAGGCCCCCGCGCAGCTGCTTTTTTGTCACAGGACAGCAACCCAAACCTCTGTCGTGAGTCCCACTCCCCTCTGAAGGAATCCCGCTCCACTGGTCTTTGCCCTGCCCTCCCTAGCCCCCTTGCCCCACGGTGCAAGGGGCCTTACCCGGTAGTGATGTCGTCGTCCTCCGTCATGGTCTTGCCCATGAGGTCGCTGTCGCTCATGTAGCCGGACTTGAGGTCCACCTCGTCCGAGTCCAGGGACTCGACCAGCTCCAGGCGGGAGATGTGGCTGAGCTTGCTGGGGCTGCGCATGGGCATGGTGTGCGAGTAGTGGGCCCGTTCCCCGTGCATGTACCAGGCCGGCGGCCCCTCCGAGCGGCATCCGCCGCCCACCGAGGGCGCGTCCCCAGCCTGCAGCCGCGGGCTGGACTGGCCATAGCGCCAGGAGAGGGGGGATGAGCGGCTGGAGAGGCTGGACACGCTGCGAGGGTTGGCGTCATCACTGTCGTAGCACGTCGTCTCCAGGGAGCTGGGCAGAGGGCAGAAGGGCACTGGTTTTCACTCTGGCAGGGCCGCTCTGGGCCCTGTCCCGGCGGACTGCACTCCAGCGACCCTTCCCCCTTCCCAGGCCCTCCCACCTCCTCTGCACCTGCCCACGTGGGCTCCACCACCTCCAGGGGCCCCTCTTCCTGTAGGGCACCCCTGTTACATGTTACCTGAGGTTGTCAGAGGGAAAGGATTCGAAGTGAGAGGGAACCAATCTCATATACTGCCTAAGGACATAGATTTTATAGTATGAGCTGGGTTTTAACCCTTTTCTACCATTTATTTGTAAGTGAGCTGGAGATGAATGAATCAACCTTGCTAAGCCTCCATTTCCTCATCTGTAAAATGGGAATAACAGCATATTAGCTACTCCACAGAGCTGTAATGATCATATACGTAAATGTCTCACGCAGTGCCTGGTATATACAAGCTGCTCAATAAATGGGAAGAGTCCAGCGAGATCTCTTGGGGGAAGTGGGTAGACCAGCTTCAAAGGCCTTGACAATTCATTGTTCAGGTGTGTCTATCACCTCTTTTTCTACTAATCAGCTAAGAGCTACTTGATTTCCAAACCAGAGAAGACAAAGTCTGGCATGAGTTACAGAGGGTACAGGCAAAGCTTTGGGAACTTGAGATGTGTGGCTGGTTCCCAGTAAGACTAGCAAAAAGGCCTAGGCTGTCAGGAGAAAGCAGCAGAACCTCACCAGAGAACAGAAGCAGCCTTAACTGGAAAGAGGAGAGATCATGGGGAAAGGGACAAGAGGGTAAAGACGGGATGCGCAGGGCCCCAGGCCTCAGGCCCTGCTAGGCCAGGTGAGGAAAGCAGGCCCAGGTTTGTGGATGAACCGACACAGAGGGGATCGGGGAGCTGGAGGAGGAGATGCCTTTCTCCCTCAGGGACCCCCTGCAGGTGGCTGCAGAGAGAAAGGATCCTGGGGATCTGCTTGGAGAGGTGGCCTGGATGTGGGTTCAGGGACCGATCAGCCTCCTCAGCCCAGCAGCGTGCCCAGCCCAAGTCCCCCATGGGTAGGGTCTCAGTGGCTGGGCCTAACTGCAGCCATGCGCGGGTGAGTAACTGAAACAGAACCCATAGGCCTGGAAAGCTGGATAGCTAAGGCAGTCTGCGGCTGCCTGGGAAATCACACAAGCAAAGAGACCCTCACTCTGTGAACACATCCATTTCTTAGTCACTTTGGGGTTAACGTAGGAGTGGGACACCGATTTTTCTGTTCTTGTTTGGGTGATGCTCCTTGAAAAAAAAAAAAAATCTTCCCAAACTGTCTCTACCAACCCTGAGAAAACAAGGGTTGATTTTTTTTTTAAACATTTTATTTATTTATTTGAGATAGAGAGAGCACACAAACAGGGGGGAGCGGCAAGGGAAGAGGGAGAAGCAGGCCCCCCAGATGCGGGGCTGGAGCCCAGGACCCCGAGATAATGACCCCAGCAGAAGCCTAACAGACTGAGCCACCTAGGGGCCCCCAAGCTTGATTTTTTTTGATCAACAGAACTGGAGGAGCCCAGATATCCTTGAACCTGGGCCCATGGGTGGTTCCTACAGAAGTCCTGGGCACAAGTGGGGGTGCCCTGGCTGGGCAGGGCAACTGGTGACCGCTGCCTCTGCCCCTCTGGGGGTGCTTCCTGGCCTGGCGCACATCCAGCTTCTCCCCTCCAGGCCCTCCTTTGGCACTGGGCTTGCATTTCGTCACACGCTGTGTTATTTCTGTTTCTAATTACTGTGGACCTCAGAGCCAATGGAAGTGCCCTGAAGGAGACTGTGGGCCAGTGTGACTCTGGCCGCCTCGCTCACCACTGTATGTCAGCACTTCGCACAGGGCCTGGCATGTTCTTGGGTCCAGGTACAAGAACTAGTCAATGAGGAGCAGACCCACGACAAACGTGCTGAGTTGAAAAGCGGGAAAGTTCTCGTCGTCAGACTCAGTCCAGGGACGCTCGCCGTAAGGGTTTAATAAAAACAAGCTGACTGTGACAATGAGATGAGGACGGGAAAGCAAAGGATGATGATGGCCACGGTGACAGGACGCTGGAGAGCTCCAGGACGGCCCGTTTCCCTAGTCCGTCTACACCGCGGCAATAAAATTAGTACGCGGTGTGGGTTGCACGGAGCAACCAGATCCCTCAGTTCTATTCTTGGCCTACTCCTGGTTCAGCTCTCCGCACTACAAGTGCCTCTCCCTTGGTTCTGCTGCTCTTTTTTACCCCTCCCACCCCAACACATCTCCAGACATCTCTAAGTCAGCGGGGGAGGATTCTAGCTTCAAACGTCGGTTCTCGCCTTCTAGCCCTGCATCCGGCCCTTCAGTCTTGCCTGCCTCTCTCTCTCTCTCTCTCTCTCTCTCTCTCGCTCGCTCGCTCTGGGGTGGGGAGAGCGCTGGGCCTGGAGCAGAGGGAGGCTTTCATTTCCTCTCCAGCCCCAGCCCCCCTGACCCAGACGCTCTCCTTGCTGGGGAAACGAACCAGTAGAAATAGAGGAAGCAGGACAGAAATAAAGATTTCTGAAAAAGGAACTGACTCTAGAGCTAGCTTCTAAGTTCCAGAGTGAAAATAACCCAGCCGGAAGCGCTCACTGGACGGGAAGCTCCTCACCCAGTAGGAAGCCTGTCTCTGTTCTGGGGTATGGTGCCCAGCACTGCACCTGGCATGCTCTCTAAGCTTGCTGGACACAGAACCCCCCACCTCATCAGCCTGTGTGATTCCAGCAAGGGACCCCCTCGCCCCAGCCTCGGGTGCTGCTTCTCAAACCCAGATGATAGGAACATATCCTGCCTCCTCCCAGGGCTGAGGGAAGGGCTGGGGGATGGAAAGCACTTTAAAAAGTCAAAGAGCCCTAAAAACTCAGGGAATCATTGTTTTGGCTATCAAAGTGTCGACCAGGAAGAGCATAAATCAAAGACCAGGAGAGGAAGTGGCTCCAGGTCCACAGTAAACAGCAAAACCAGCTCAGGGCTCTTGGTTCCTTTTCCATAAAGGGAGACAGAAGTCAGAGATCTGAGGCTCTCCCCCTCCCACCAGCCGGCATTATACAAAAGGTTTTTGGCCTCCCTCTTCTCCGCTGGCCGAGGACAGAAAGCCAAAAGGGGTCAGGCTGTCCTGCTTCACGGGCTGTGCTCAGTCAGTGGCCCCAGGACACGGAAGCTACTGCTTCTACCCTTCCTCTGTGGGTGAGTCATTTGGGGTGTGACCCCCTTAGCAACTAAGCGCTTTCTGGCTTCTTTGGCATGGAGCTGGCATGGAATTTGGTGCTGAGAGAGCTGTTCCAAACTCCCTGGATGGGGGAAAGAGGATGATCAAGATTTCATCCACAGAGTCCCTGAACTGGCGAGCCAAGCTGAGCCCGGCCCGTCTCACTTGGGTCCTGCCCTGGGCTGTGAGAGAGGGAGGCTAGGGACAGGTGTGAGACAGCCTGAGCCCCAGGGTCACCAGGAGCCTCCCTCATGCACTCTTTTCATCAGATGTCCCCCCAACACACCCCTTTCAGTAGTCCTGCTAACCCCACAGAATTGAGGCTTTGATTGAGCACTGAAAATATGTCAGCTATCTGGGAGCCAAGGGCTGAGTGTCCAACACAGAGGATGGGAAAGGACTAGGCGGAGTCGTGGAAGGAGGAGCAGGGCTGTTCTTAAGCAGAAGAACTACAGCCGATGAGTGAAAGCTATGAAGCCTGATTTCTATTCCACTTCCTGGTCATGGTAATCTGGTCACAGTGCCCGGAGATGAATGACAGTTAGGGAGTTCTCTGAGCCACACACTTGGGCTCAGCAAAGCCCTTACCCTTTTCTCCTTCTGTCCCAACTTTGCTCTCATTTTCCAACCTCAGGAGATGGGGAGGAACCGAACTCCAGTCCAACTGGACAGGCCACCTAATCGCTCTCAGCCTTCCTGTTCCACAGCCCCCATGATTTCCCAATCCTGGCTTTCTGCTCTCTCTCCTTCTACCCCCTGCCCAGCCCTCTATCCCCCTCGGAGCTGACAGCATGAGCTCATCTGGACAGCCCGAGGAGCCAATGGGGGAAATTCTGAGTCACAGCAGAGGCCGTGGCCAGTATGCCGCTCCAGGGAGAGGTGCCATGGGAGAATGGAATGGCCCACACCGCTGGAGGCAGCAAAGTCTCTGCAGGGTGGGGCGACGGGGCGCAGCCCCATGGCATGGATCTGGGTCAGCCACTGGCTGAAGAGGCCAGAGGATACCTAGCTGACAGAAGAGGGAAAGAAGCTGGGTGTTGGGATGGGCACCATTCTAGAATCCTCTAACAACAGACACTTCAGGACAGGAGAAGGACAGCAACTGTTAACACATGAGGAGACCAGCACTGAAGGAGGGAAAGTGGACACGGAAGGTCAGACCCTGAATCACGGAGGAGGGGCTTCCCATCTCCCACTCTAGTGCTTTTCAACTCATTTGCTCAAAATGAAATCTCATGCCCCAAAGCAAGCAGATCCCAGGCAGAACCAAGCTTCTGTTGCCGAGATGGCCAATTCTCCTGTCCTTCAGCAGTGGCCAGTGGGTCTCTGAAGCCCTACTCTCCAGCGCGGGAGAGAGCGAGCCCCCTCGGCAGCTTAGACCTACCTGTGAGTCACCTGGGACCCTCGCAGACTGGACATGGTCTCTTCCAGGTTCTGTCGAAGATCCAGGACATTCTGCACTGTCCTCTTTCTCTGGGACTCTGGGTCTGGAGGCAGAAAAGAGCAGCTGGGTGAGTGGAGAACTTTCTGCTGAGAGCTGAGGGTGGCAGGGAGTGGAGACTGACCATGTCCCTAGGACACTGCTCCCAGGCCATGCTGGTCACCCTAGACACACGCTCTCGAACTGCCTGACATCTCGACCCTGGGAGGGGGTCTGTGTTGTGCATGCCACCCAGACCCCCCGAGGAACTGCTTCTTCTGGCTTTCATTTTTGGGAGGCTTGCTTCTCAGAGTGGAGGTCCCCGGCAAGAGCCCTGTGTGAAGTCAACCGGAATGTCTGCCGCAAACCCCATCTCCAGGGATATGGTGATAAATGTTTAACAACCGGCCCTGAGAGGTGGGGACGCCCTGACTTGGAGTGTTTGCCAATTTCTGTGGTGTAAATTCTCCTCCCATGGCTCTCTTAAGCTACCAGCATGACGTCACTAACCGCACGGTTAGGAAGAGATGCTAGCAGGTGGCTCTGGGAAGCTGGTGGGAGCCAGTTCCAGCACATCACACTCCCTGAGCCTCAAACACTGACTGGGAGTGTCTGGAGCTGCCCCATGGGGTTAAGGGGGGATAGTGCAGATACAGCCCCCAAAAGTGAGGTTGCTGCTGGGGAGGTGGAGGGCATGAGCAGTCATTTTTGGGAGCATGGACTGAGCTCTGGGCGACAATGCGACCCCAAGTGAGGGGGATGCATGGATAGGGCCATCGCCCTCAGAATCCTAAATAATCACGGGTCATTTCATTCAGCCTTGGTTTCCAGGCAGAATATACACACGGTCAGATGAAAAGAATCTACAACAGGCAAAAAGCAGAATTTATCCCATCTCCTTCCCAAGGTGAAAATAACATCCCCAAAAGAGGAAGGGGTTCTGAGCATGAAGAACTCTAAGAACTTTCTCCAACCTTCTATCAGTTCATCCAGTAAACCTTAACAAACACATGCTTTATCCCAGGTCTCAGAAGGCCCTGAGGACACTAAAATGAAGAAGACCTGTCCCTGTCCCCTGCTTTCCTTTTGACTTTGGGATCCAAGGTCACTGAATGGACTCAAATCCCCCAATGTCTCCCTGAAAAGGCATTGCACGGAGAGTCAGGGGCCTACAGGGAGATGATGGCAAAGCAATGGAGAAACCCCAGGAGTCCTGACTCTCAGGCTACTTCCCTTTTCTCTCTATCCCAAAACCCTCTGCGTTCCCTCTCTGGTCAAGGTGCCCTCTAAGTCCCTCCCCGACCCACAGACTCAGCATAGTATGAGGTTCTTTTCGCTACCAAAGGGAGCATTTCTGAATCCCTTCAGAGGCACTTGTACCCCCAAGAATACACCCAGGCTGGCTGGCAGGCGGCTGCTCTGTCTCGTCGGCCCCCAAGCGGGTGCTGGGGAGGGTGGGCCGGAAGCCAGGCCACACCTTTGCTGAGAACCAGCTCCACACCCAGATCCAGGTACCTCTTCTCTCCTGCCCCCTTCTCCCCTCTCCTCTCCCTGCGGGAGCCTGCGGGAGGCTGCTGCTGCTGGTGGGCTCGATCATGGTCAGCATCATGTAGGCACTTCCATGCTCGTGGCAAGCCTCCATGCCAGGGGCCTGAGCTCTGTCCCACAGAAGTGTCGTCACTTCCGTGGCTGCCAATCCCTATTTATCCTGGCAAACGTCACCTTGTGAGCCGCTCAGTGGCTTTAACTGATGGCTTGGCATAGAATACAGACAGGATCAGAAAGTATATACATGTATTTTTAAGGCTTGGTTCCCAAATGCCCGTGGGGGGACTAAGAACTTTGTGCCAAGATGTGGGTTCCTGGGCCAAGGCAATTCTTTCATTGGGTTTGACAGCGATGAGGGAAAGGCATGCATAACTCTACGGGGTGTGCAGTCCCAAAGAGGAAGGTGACCCAGAGTTACTCAGACTTGTGTGCACGCCAACCCTGTGCTTGTACGAGCTCGTTGAATCCTCACGTTTACGGGAGATTTGTGATCTTGTCCCCATTTTACAGATGGGGAAAACTAAGACTCAGAAAGATGAAATAAACGGCCCAAGGCCACACACCTAGCATGCAGCACAGAGCCGAGTCAAGCCAGGGAAGAAAGTCATATTTCTGGTGATGTATCACAGGGCATGTCTACACCAGCACAGTCACGCAGTGATGGCACACAGTAGGTGCTCAACGAACATTTCAACAATAGATGGATGCCACCACAAAAAATCTGTCAAGAAATACATTTTAAAAAAGCATGGATAGGGGCACCTGGGTAGCTCAGTGGATTAAAGCCTCTGTCTTCAGCTCAGGTCATGATCCCAGGGTCCTGAGATCGAGCCCCACATCAGGCTTTCTGCTCAGCAGGGACCCTGCTTCCCCCCACCCCGACCCCTCTCTCTGCCTGCCTCTCTGCCTACTTGTGATCTCTGTCTGTCAAATAAATAAATAAAATATTTTAAAAAATAAAAACAAAAATAGAAAAATTAAAAAGGCATGGATAAGGGTGTGTGGTGGTGGCTCTGTCGGCTGAGTGTTTGACTCTTGGTTTCGGCTTGGGTCATAGTCTTGGGCCCGCATTGGGCGTGGAGTCTGCCTGGGATTCTCTCTCCCTCGCCCTCTGCCCCTCCCTAATTCAAGCACTCTCTCCCTCTCTCAAATAAATAAAATCTCAAAAAGAAAAAAAAAAAAAAGGAATGGATAGATATATGTCCCTTTAGAAAGATGTCTTTTTTTGTCGTTGTTAATCTTCTTTCTTTTTTAAGATTTTATTTATTTGGGGGTGCCTGGGTGGCTCAGTGGGTTAAAGCCTCTGCCTTCAGCTCTGGTCATGGTCCCAGGGTCCTGGGATCGAGCCCCGCATGGGGCTTTCTGTTCTGTGGGGAGCCTGCTCCCACCGCCCACGACCGCCTGCCTCTCTGCCTACTTGTGACCTCTGTCTGTCAAATAAATAAATAAAATCTTTAAAAAATATATTTTATTTATTTATTTGAAAGAGAGAGACAAAGCAAGAGCGGAAACACAAGCAGGGGGAGTGGGAGAGGGAGAAGCAGGCTCCCTGAAGTGCAGGGAGTCCAATGCGGGGCTCATGACCTGAGTGGAAGGCAGATGCTTAATGACTAAGCCATTCAGGGGCCCCAACCCTTTTTTTTTTTTTTTTAAGATTTTATTTATTTATTTGACAGACAGAGACCACAAGTAGGCAGAGAGGCAGAGAGAGAGGGGGAAGCAGGTTCCCTGCTGAGCAGAGAGCCTGATGCGGGGCTCGATCCCAGGACTCTGAGATCATGACCTGAGCCAAAGGCAGAGGCTTAACCCACTGAGCCACCCAGGTGCCCCCCCAACCCTTTTTTTTAAGGAAAAAATATTTAATCCAAAAGGTAGCCAGCCCCAGGAGGGTCCCTCTGTATTCTCTAGTGCTCCTGGCCCTGGGGCAGGGGAGTGTGGGTATGGGAACCTGGATCTTAATGCTCTAGCAGTGACTGAAAAAGGGTTACTTTCCTACTTGTCACTGCACTGATTACAGTGCCCTATATCTCCTCCCTCCAAGACCACTCTATCCCCCTACCTCATTTCCATGTCGGTAGAGTGGGGTGGGAATGCCCCTAAAGTCTCATAGACTTGCCAAAAATTAGAGCCACAAGTGTCCTTGGAAGTGACCCGATCCAACCTGGTCATAGGAGAGACGGGAGGCTGAGGTCCAGTGAGGGCGCAAGGAGCTGGAGGTTAATGGAATGATGTCTGGTGCCAGGCCTCCCAGCAGTGTAGCCTAGAGGCATACATACGGGAGTTTGGGTTGGACCCTGATTTGCTGGAGGGGAACCTGGATCCCTCCTGCAGAGGCTACCTCCCTGAGCTCCCTCCATGCCACAGCACTGCCCCCTGGTGGTCATCCTGGGGATGCCAGCCTGCTTCTCAAAGGCTCCACTCAGGGTAGTGGCTGCTGAGAAGTCTGTGCACCCACATCTGTGGGTGACAGAGACCTTCCTCGGGGTACAGCAGTAGCCCCACGATGAGAGCACTGACATGCACATACCGGGAAGGCTTCTGGAGCTCAAGAGGCTGCAGAAACTCTGGCTAGGTTGAGGGGCAATTTGATGTTCACATCCATGACCTCAAGGCAAATCTTTACACATATAACTAGAAAATATGAATAAAGTTGCATCTGCAAAAGAATTCACCCACCCCTCTCACCCTTGCCCACTCTTGACCTTCACACTACTCACCTCTGACCCCCCAACTCATATCTAAGCTTCCCCCCTTTCTCATCATCTCTCATGAGGATCAGAGATGGGGTGAAGGTTGGTGAGGTACACACCGTCTTGTGATGATGACCCCAAAGCTTGCTTTACTGGATGAGTCATGGTGTCTCAGAGGTCACCTCCATGTGTCAAAACATCTCAATGTCTATCCTGGGCCTGGAGTAGAGGCCTAGGGGACGTAAGAGAGCACAGACACAGCAGAGAGGGAGGGCCTGAGAGGAGTTCCTCTCCTCCCTCAGCACCCATCCATGTGGGATGCACTCAGGGCTCCCAGCCTATGAATCATCTTTGTGCAGATGAGAAAAAGGCATTCTCCAGGCCAGCTCAGCTGGGGTTTTGCTCTTGTTAGGGCCCACGCTGTGGCCAGGAAAACATACCTGTCCCCTCCCTTGGATGCCCGGATCTGAACACCCTTCACAGCCCTACTCTGAGGCTCTGGGTATGCCTGCTCTTAACACCTACAGAATAGGGTCCAGCTGCAAGGATGGTGGGTGTATGCATGCGTGTGTGTGTGTGTGTGTGTGTGTGTGTGTGTGTGTGTGAAGCAGGGTTGGACAAAGGCCAGCTCCACGATGACAAGGAGGTCTACGGGGGGAGCTCATGAGATTGTCCTGGGCTGCTGCTCCAAGCCTTTCCCTGCAAAAGGAGCAAGCAGGGAGGATGTGTGCTGTCCTCTGGCTCAGAAGAGGGCAAGACCCTCCCCCAACTCAGCCATCACCATGGTAACTCACAGCTGCCGCCAACGTCACCCTCCCAGCATGCACTG